TTACAATTAAATTTACATTTAAAGCTATGAAACTCATTTTTTAAACATGTCTGTGGTTTTTACAGTAAAACTACGAGGATTTTATGTTTTTGTGTGATTTCAGATCAGTGTTGTTTATACAGCATGTCAGTAGCAAAATGACTGTAAATTCAGACACTGAAGACAACGATACCAAACAAGGAGAAGAAATTAAAGGTAAAATTAAACGTAAAATCAAACTGTAGTCAAAAATGTCCAGTTATATTTTATACCCAACAAATCCTGAGAAATTAGGTTTGAACTTCGGTGACCAGTGTTTTCATCACACTGCAGATTTCTGACACTTTGTGTGAATTTAAGCAACAATTTGATTTTTTCTAACAAAAACCAACTGAAGTTCGACCCGTGTTTGTAACTGAAAACCTGACGTTGTGTAGTTTTGTGGATTTTATACTCACTGGGCTGCACAGCTGTGTATTATAGGGGCCACAGTCAAACGGACGTGTTCTATGTAACTGCAGCCACAGGCTGACACATTCACGCCTATGGACAGCTCACAATCTCAGTGAACCTCACCCTACTAACTGCATGTGTTTGGACTGTGGCGGAGAGAGAGAACACACTCGTGGAGAACATCCACACAGAGAGACCCCACCCACATGGCGGCGTTAAACTCGGGAACTTCTTGCTGTGAGGCAACAGGCGTGCCACCATGCTACCCTTATTGAATAAAAATCATATATATGTTTTAAAGTGTCTCCTCTGGCAGATATAACAGCTGAACACAGCCGCTGCATTCGGTCTACAACAGAAATCTAATCTTCTCCCACATCTGTGGACTTTGTAGCTGCTTTGCTTTCTCTCTTCTGTCCAGTTCATCCCAAACCAGCTCGATGGGTTTAAGTCTGGAGACTGTGCTGGACCTCCATGTTCACAACCGTCTTGTTCTTCGTTCCTGAGGTAGTTCTGGCACAGCTTGGACTTATGTTTGGATCATTATCTTGCAGTAGGATGAAGCCCTCACAGACTAGCCTCATACCAGAGGGTCCTGCATGGAGCTGCAGAGTGCTGTGGAGCTGTT